GTTTGTTTGGCATTCATTTATTCATTCATTGTCTTTCTCTTGCATATTTCACTCATCAGGAGCAGTGACAAACTCACTGGGAAGCCACCAAAGACGGGAAGCCTGTGGAAATCGCTTGGATCTACTTTCTGGGCATAATTGGAGGCTGGAGCTAACTGGGAAAATAGCTGGCATGTCAGTAAATTGTGTGGCCTGCATGGTGCTACTGAAAGCCACTGGAGACGAAGAATCACTAAAGGCTCTGCTCTCAAGGCTGCCTCACTTGGGTGAAGCAGAGAGCTAGATGCACACCCTGCTCAGACACTTGCTCACAGCGCCACCTGTTGGCCAAGTTCACCACCACACCACTGTACAAAGGTGAAAGGGATGGGTACCAGCTGCAGTACCACAGGAGGGCAAGGACAACTGATAACCGCCACTGGCCATCTTTGGTCTACGAAGCTGCCAAATGCATTATCTCGTTATGTCTTTTATTTCATGTTCTGCTTTCTTAATACAGGATCTAGGCAGACCTCATACTTGCTAAAAAACCTCAAATTCTTTTTAAGTATGTTTTATAGCACATGCTAAAATCTTATTTGGTCAGTTGGAATTGTCTTTCACCTCATCACCAAACTAAAGTCAAACTCCAAATACATATGTATAAAATTATATTTTGAAGAAGACATAAGGGGAAGGTCGTTAACATCTATAAATAAGCATGTGTGTATAATAAACAAAATGGGAAAGTTAGCAATGATTACTTCTGTAAGTAAATGTGAGGGCATATCTATCGCTCCTTTCATAGCTTGTTCTTCAGTTGACCTCAGACAAAGTTCCATATGCTTGTATGGAACTCAGTTCATTGAGTGATGCAGGCCTTTGTTCAGGAAAGGCATGATTCTCCAACACTTCTGCTTTCATTAGGTTTGTATGTCTGTGTGCATGTTCCTGGGTGTGTGTGTCACACACGTGCACATAAACGTGTGAAGACCAGATGATAACCTAGGATGCTACTCCTCAGAGGCCATCCTTTCCTGTGACATAGACTCTCAGTGGCCTGGAACTCACTAAGGAGTGAGCCCAGAGAACCATCCATCTTTGCTTCATCACCAAGAAGTTACAAACTCAGAAAGTCTGTGTGTGTGTGTGTGTGTGTACAAACTCAGAAAGTCTGTGTGTGTGTGTGTGTGTGTGTGTGTGTGAGAGAGAGAGAGAGAGAGAGAGAGAGAGAGAGAGAGAGAGAGAGAATTCCTTGGGTTTTCAAGGCAAGTGCTTTCCCTTCCCAGCCTCCCCAAGGCCCATTCTCCAGATGTAGTCCTTTTCCCTGGTTGTATGTGAACTCAATTTCTTCTTTGTGATTAGAACCTATTACACCAGCCCATAGGATAACCTTATCCACTATGTCAATGTCCAGATTGTGGTCTTATCCTCTAATTCAGTTCAACCTTTGCTCTGCCACCCTGGGAACCAGCAGAGCTCACCACTGTTAGGGTGGAGAGTCACGGTCTGCCAATAGATTGCTTGCTATAAAGCTCGAAGGACTCACTGCACCCTTTCATGTTCAAACTCATGGATTGTGGCTATGTAGCAGACAGACTACAAATGATCTCTAATCCAAAGCACATTCTATATGCCCCACACAAGATACACTCCATTTTTTAAAGAAGGTTTTCTCCATCTGCCTCTGTTACAGAGCCTTTCATAAATGACTATTATACACAGTAAGGACAGTCTCTTCTGGATGATGGTGAGGGAACCGAAGACAATTTGATCAAAGGGTTTATTTCATCTTATATTTTCATGTTATAACCTACCATTTAGGGAAGTCAAGGCAAGAATTTGAGGCACAAACCTAGAGGCGGGAACCATACGGGAATGCTACTTGCTCTCAACTTGCTTTCTCTTACGGCCCAGGACCAGATCACCTACCCAGGGATGGCACCATCCATAGTGGAATGGATGTTCTGGTATTCATAAAGAATCAATAATTCCCCCACTGACTGCCAATGTGGTCTGGGCAACCTCCAACTGAGACCCCTTCAAATGTGTCAAGTTGACAGCTGACCCTAACTAGTACAGATTAACCTGGGTCATCCAGTGTGCCCTAAATGTGATCAAACACCACCTTAAAAGAGGGAGACAGTGGAAGATGGGGCACACACACGAAAGATTAGACAATGCAGCTTTAAGTCAAGAAACTGAGTGACCCGCCAGAAGCTAGAGAAGGAATCCAAGCAATCCAAAAGAATATGGATCTACTAAAGAAAGCGCGTATTTGCCAGGACACCTCAGAGAACTGCCCTGTGCATCGCATCGCAGGGGTTAACAAAAGAACTAAGCAGCACTGTAAAGAGTATTATTTGTTACTGAATTATGCAGCCCAGATAATAAGAGTGGCTTGAATTACTGCACAGGCTTCCTCCAGGGCAGTGCTTCTCAACCGTCTCAACCATGCTTAGGCTGCAACCCCTTAGTACATGTTGTGGTGACCACCCCCGGCCAGGAAATTATTTTGCTGCTACTTCATAACTGTAATTTTGCTACTGTTATGAATTGTAGTGTGAATCTCTGATATGCCGGATATCTCATATGTGGCCCCCGAAGAGGTTGAGACCCACAGGTTGAGAATCGCCGCCCTATATGATGTACTATAAACGGAAATATCCTTTCCACCCCATGCTTTCAGTCATGTTTACTACAGCAAGAGAAAGAAGACTAGAGGCTTTGTATCGTTTTTACATAATGAAATTAAGCCAGAAGTCAACTACATTACGTAGTCTGTGACTTCAAGAAGACTTCTGCATCTGAGAAAATGGAACTGGGGATCTACCATGGTGGCTGGAGCCCAACAGCACCCTGAGTCCTTAGGAACAAGCGCCAATTCAAAGCCGGTGCCAAGTAATTTCCATGGAAGCAGAGCATTCTTGTTGACACACTTCCCTGCTGGTGCTGTAGTTTGCCTCCTGCATGTCCCTGGAAGGCCCCCTGTGAGACTGTGGGACCTTAGCACTCTCCTTGCTCACTTTTGCTCAATCACACTCTGCTCTGATGACCTGAGCGACAGGGTCAACAGAACTTGGACTAGAGTGTCAGGAGAACGGGAACTGAAAGAGCCACACCAAGAGGACCAGATGAAAGGAGCCAGTTGACCAGAAAAAAAGATTGGAAAGTCTTCCCACCTTGGTTACATACAGCAAACAGCTTGAATGAGAAAAGCCCACGCCATAAAAATGTGGGTGAGGTACACACCGTGTCAACAATCGTGAGTCCACAAACCTCATGGCCCGGTGCTTCTGAGCATAGGCTTTTCTCCACATCTCTAGGCCACTCCTTTTTCCTTCCTCAATAAATGTTCTCTGTTTCTATTTGTAATTATGTGTTCCTGTGCAAACCTTTGTCCTGGGACACAAGAACCTGGACACTTATGCCAGTGCCCTCTGAACCCAGATCCCTGCCTTTGATCACTAAAACATCCCAAACTATGAGCCTAAGGAATCGGTTCTCATTCATAGTTCTCCCAGGCACTCTGCTGTGATGGTGGAGAGGTAACTGACAAAGTCACACTACTAAGGGGCTGTGAGTTTTAAGTGAGAAGGTTTATGGTCTGGAGTCATGTGAATGCTACAAGACCCTGGCTGGTCTCTCCAACCAGAAGACTCTGTTTTGATTTGAGGTAGTTGAGTGATTCCAGGTATGATTTTTTTCGATCGTGGGGAATCAGTCAGACTTGGAACTACTAATTCTAGGTTTCTTCACTGACAAAATTTAGACATTTTCATCCCCACAGATCCCACAGCCAGTCAGCCATAGCCAAGGATTCCCGTAGGCCAAGTTTTACCTGATATTCACACACACACACACACACACACACACACACACACACACACACGAAGTGGGGCTACTCATGTTCAGTTGAAATCACTGGGAGGCCTGCTCTTTCCTGAGGGAAAATGGAGAAACAATGGATCACAGGGAGAAGGGAGGGGAGGTAGGGAACTGGAAGGAGTGGAAGGAAAAGAGGGTGCATTTGGGATGTATCATATGAGAGAAGAATGAAAGAAAGAATAAATGAATAAATAAATAAATAAATAAATAAGAGGTACTAAGAATGGTTAACAGTTTACTTCCTGTCACGGTACACTATTTAATACCACACAATCACTTGGTTCCTTTCATTGCTCTCAGATGAAACCACAAAGGTCTGCTGAGGCCTCTTAGGTTCTAGGTGTGACTGAAGCCCCAACTACTTCAAATGTGTGTTCGGATATTTAAGTCACACCCATCTTGCTGCAACTCTTCTCAGCTTGGACAATTTAGTTTCTTCCAAAGAGCCTCTCTCTGGCATTCCAGACTCTACCTTGTGGGTCTGCACACCAAGACCCACCCTTCCATATGTCACGTGTCCTATAACTTTGTTTCTCTATTGTACGTTTATTATTCGTAATTCGAGCTTTTCCTGTGCCTATTGTTACTCCGTGAGGCTGTAAGCCCAACTCAGAACACTTTTTTTTTTGTCCCGTTTTCCTTGCAGAGTGACAAAGTGTTGTCTAATCCTGTATAGACGTCTCACGGATCTAGAAGTCGGTCTACATTACCACCCATGGCTTTTCAAGTGCACAGCGAAACTTCCACAGCCACCTTAACTTGCTCCAAATTTGTTAAGCCAAACAGAAAGTAAGGCCCTGGGTCTTACTTCAAGCCAAAGAGGGCTACCACGGAGGAAAACTTACTACTAGCAAAAAGACACATCCCCTCCTGCCTTACACCATCAGGGATCAAGGAAAGACGGTATCATTCATTTTTCACAAACGTTTGTGAACGCTGTCCAATGAAGCTACCTGCAGTTCCAAGCGCAGCAGCAGAGGAGCAGCCTGCCAGCGCCACAGCTTCCTTATCTTCCTTATGCGCAGGCGCACACCTAGCGCTTCCGCCCTGGGCGTGGCCAACCCTGAGCGTGCCCACCGCGGGGGCGTGGCCTGCAATCGGCAGGGTCGTCCACACCCCCTGCGCGTGTGAGGATGGCGCTAGGGCTCCACGGTGGACACGGGGCCTCGGGGCAGGGGCTAGCCTTGGAGACCTCAACTACGGCAACAGCAGCTTCCGGTGCAGTGGGCTCCCGCCGCTTCCTGCTCTGTCTCTACCTGGTGGGGTTTTTGGTGAGTGCACGCACGCTCTGGGGCTGTGGAAAAGTCCTGAGTCTGTGCCAGACAAGAGATACTGGAAGGGCTGCTCTTACCTCGAGTTCCTGGGGACTTATACATCCCGGGCCAGGAACCTGAAGTGTGCTGTCAGGTGCCTCTTCTTGCCCTTTCAGCCCCCCTGACCTCAAGTGTGACTCCTTGACCCAGCCGCTTTGGAGGGTGACTGCAGGTGTTATTTGCTGAGACCTGTACAGGGCAGAGTACAGAAGCTGCTGGAGGCAGATAGGGCATTAGGGGGACACAGACCTTTCCTCCACAGCAGGGGTCTTGAAGTCCCTGCTGAGGAACCCCTCTAGACAGGCAGCCTTGAAGTTTAAAATTGTAAGTTGCCTTGAATTACATACAACTGCCTTTTGACAAAACGGCACGCGGTTTTGTTTTGTTATAATTTATGTGCATGCGTATATTGGTTTGGCTCACAAGTGGTCCTTTCCCTTGTAGAATGATGTCTTAGGATTTCTATTGCTCGGACAAATTGCCTTGACCAAAAAGCGAATTGGGAAGGAAAGAGTTTATTTGGCTTACACTTGAGTCTTGCTGCTCATCACTGAGGGAAGTCAGGAGAGGAACTCAAACAGGGCAGGATCCTGGAGGCAGGAGCTCATGCAAAGACTGTGGAGGGATGCTGCTTACTGGCTTGCTTTCCGTGGCTTGCTCAGCCTGCTTTCTTATAGAATCCAGGACCAGTAGCGCAGGGATGGGGTCACTCACCGTGGATGAGGCCCTCCCCCATTGGTCACTAAATGAGAAAATGCCCTTTAGCTGGATCTCAAGGAGGCATTTTCTGAACTGAGGCTTCTTCCTCTCTGATGACTCTTGCTTGCGTCCACATTGACATGGAAAAAGCAGCCAGTACAAATGAGAAGCTTAAGAAGAACTCATGCTGCAACCACCCATCCTCCTATTAATTTAATTAATATTCATGAGGTTTCTGCTGTGTGGTATGTACCCTGGAGCTCTGATGTCATAGGCAGCTTCTGCTTCCAGAGAATTAATAGTCTTAGTGGTAAGGTTAAGTTGGTAGTCTTGGGCCATTTTCAGTGCAGGGACCCTTATTCACCCTCATTCCTCTTTCAAGTCTAGGTTTGGTTGCTTGGTTCAATGGGCCTGGTTATAAGTCAGTGGATGGCAACAGCCTGAAGAAGCACCCTGTAGTATTTCCTCATCAGGCAAAGGAACCAATTAGTTGAAAGGTCAGTGGTAGAAGGCTTTGTGGCTAGTATCTGATCAGCACTGAACCTCATAGACAGGAACTTTTCTGTGGCCCGATGGAACCTCCTATTTCTCCCTCGACTGATGGGTCTCTAGAATTAGGAGTTAGGATGTAGAACCGTGTAGGTGAGAAACAGAGGCACAGTCTCAGTTCAGCTTGAAAAGAATCCAGCAGTTGTCAGAGGTTGTTCAATTAATATTTGCCAGAAGGAAAGCAGAATACACCAAATGTCTGTGTTTACAGAGCCAGGAGACACTGAGGACCATGCCTTAGAGAGGGCTGTGTCTAGAGTGAGCTTTCAGGGTCTGAGACACAATTTCCCACTTAGGTTCCATGCCATTAACTTAAGAGAGCCCAAGCTGTCCCATCAGCACCCCCCCCACACACGCCGTGTGTGTGTGTGTGTGTGTGTGTGTGTGTGTGTGTGTGTGTGTGTGATATGTGGAATTCAAAGGTAGTGAATGTGGCTTGTTCCAAAAAAGGTTGTTGACTGCCATCCACTTGGGGTGATGTGTATCCCCAACCCACTGAGGTGCCATCCACTTGGGGTGATACGTATCCCCAACCCACTGAGGTGCCTTCCACTTGGGGTGATGTGTATCCCCAACTTACTGAGGCACTACTGCAAAGGACACCTAGGTTACTTGTGTCAGATGAAAAGGACTTAGGCCATCACTTGGAACATCCAGACTTTACCTGGAGGGTAACAGCAACTACCAGGAGCCAGAATTCAGACTAGTTTGAGGATTACAGAGAAATAAAGCAGTTCATACATCATTCATTATGTGCAGCCTTCCAACCCAGACTTGGATAGTCACAACCTCTCTTCTGCTTGCCATATGCCGTGCACATGGTAAATCTAGTCTGATGTAAAATTTTGAGAAATGCAATAATATATTAAAGAGCATATCCTGAGAGAAATACATATGATTTCCAAATAATTTTTTAAAAAGATTAGGGATTTTTTTTTGTCAATGAAAAATGTTGTAAAGAGTTTGATCGTGTGCAACTTTGTATGTCTTTGAAGGAGCTAATACTGGCTTATTAAGTAACATCTAAGCCTCTTACCTATTACACACAGCTTACTTATGATTTTCATAGATTTAGCAGCCCCCATAGGCTTGGTGAATGGGTTTCTGATTGGAAGAGGAAAAGCACAAGGTTAAAGAAGTCATTTGCCAAATGTTCTAGTTTTTGCTCTTGACATTTTGAGGTTTTGATACACGGGGCACAGTAAGGTCCTTCAGTTGGCTCATTTTGGTTAGCAAGCTAAGATGATGCTGTGTTGAGGGAGAATGTTTCAAGATATCTGATTATACTTATAACGATATGTCACTGTGATTGCTTTAATAAACAGCCAAATGGCCAATAGCTAAGCAGGAGGTATAGGCCGAACTTCCAGGAGAGAGAGGGAAAGGGGGAGAGATGAATCTCGGCCCAGGAGAGAGACTCAAGAGGTCATGGAGAGGAAACAGGAGGTACAGGATGGAAGAGAGGTAAACAGCCATGTGGAAGAATGCAGATGAATACAGATGGGTTCATTTAAGTTCTAAGAGCTGGCTGAGACAAGCCTAAGCTAAAGGCCAAGCTTTCATAATGAATAAGAAGTTTCCACGTCATCATTTGGGGCTGGCGGTGAAAAAGAAAGTCGGTCTGCAGTGCTGAGATCTGTAACTTTGTTTCTTGTTCTCCAGACACTTGGTCAGTTTCTGTTCCCTCTTCCCAGCCTGTAGCAGGTGAGAGTTCATCTTCATTGAGATAGCCCACCAGCAGAGAAACACTGGGTTTCATTCCCTGTAAAAGGCCCCGGAAGCCTGACCATAATCCTCGGTTTCCATTGGGAAATGCTGATGCGCAGGGAGAGGCTAGGCGGCCCCATCAAGCTGGCTTCCTTAAGAATGGTTGCGATGTGTAGGAGGTAATGGAGCTCTGTAGAACGTGTGGGTCAGGAAGGAACTGCTCATTATAGTAAAGGGGAAGACATTTTAGATGAAAACTTCCTGAGATGAAGGAGTCTGCAGCCGTTCCTGGTAAAAAATGATGTTATTTTAAATTCGCAAGGTACTAAAATAATATCGCCAGCTCTTGCTGATGAGCCTATATTTTCATAATTACCTTAGTCTATATCAGTATTTTACCAGCATTCTGTCTTCCTCATGCTTTCCTGGGCTTGGCAGGTATTATTGATATACCTAGCGTGGTAGAGTGTGCTTATATTATCAGTGCTCAGGAGACTGAGGAAAGAGGCCATCCTGGGCTATATAGTGAGAAAGACTGTCTGGGGAATTGTGGATGGAATGTAAAATGATTTTTAAAAACAGACTGTCTCAAAAAGTACAGGCTTTAAAGAAAAGTCCCATTAATTTCTTTCGGTAACTGGAGGGATTTGCTTTTATTTATTTATTTATTTATTTATTTATTTTCTTTTTCGGGACAGGGTTTCTCTGTGTAGCTTTGGTGCTTTTCCAGGAACTAGCTCTGTAGACCAGACTGGCCCCAAACTCACAGAGATCCACCTGCCTCTGTCTCCCAAGTGCTGCGATTAAAGGCGTGTGCCACCACCACTTTACTGAAGCACAAAACACTTTACCAGTGAACACAAACAGCCCCTCCATCCATATCCTTCTCCACAGAACACGGTGGTTTCTCAGTTCTTTCTTGCTTTGTTTCAGGGGAGGGACTTCCATTGCCCATTCTCCTCAGGCCAATCACAAAGAAGCAGCAATGCTAATGAAAACTGATCCTAACTGTGTGTCCAGACAGCATGGGTTTTAGACTTACCTGGATTCTATCATACACCTGGTTTCTGTGGCCCTACTGTTATGGTTCTTCTTTTCTGAGAAGTTTAGATGTGGGTTTGATGTTTGGAAATGACTTACAGTTTTAGAATCACCAGTTTAAGTGCGGCTAAGCTTCAGTACTAACTGGAGTCCTTTGGGTTTTGGCTTCTCACAGGATTTGTTCGGTGTCAGTATGGTTGTCCCATTGTTGAGTCTTCATGTCAAGTCCCTTGGAGTAAGTCCTATAGTTGCTGGAGTGGTGGGTAAGTGTCTAATACTGTTGATTTGCAAAGGACACAATTTCAGATCCTCTGAAATAACTCAGCCCTTGACCAGTTATCACCCAAAAGGAAACAGGAAATGAATTGACTTTGCAGAACATCTCTAAGTACCACCGTGGAGTAAATGGGATTGATCTTTTCCCAGAAAGGCTTTGAGACTTGAGTTTTTGCCACATCCCGTCCTGATGGAAGCTCTGCTTCCTGGGCCTCTGGGAGTTTGGGCTGTGTATGTTGAAGGTGAGGCATGGCTTCCTGTCAACAAGCATAGTTCTGGAACTTAATATGATACGACAGGGACAATGTATGGAAGTCATACCTGATGCAAAGGTTTTCAGTGACCTCCTTGGGAAACTAGTTCCAAACTTCCCATACCACTAGCACATCTCAGAAGCCCATGAAGTTTCTGCCCATGCAGCATGCAATTGCATCCCAAATTTATTCATTTGTGAAAGAGGCAGGAGTATCCAGGGCTTAGAATTGTGCATGCTAAATACTGAAAAACCCATAATACTCACAGCCCTTGAATCCTTCACAAGTTGGAGAAGAAATCAGGCAGTTTTCTACATCACCTTGTTATAGTTTGATCCCTCTCTGTCTGTTTTTTCCCTCAAGATACGTACATTGAATTATGCTGACCATCTGGTAGCGTATAGACCTTTAGGAAAAGCCGAATGGGTCTGTTACATAATAAAGGAAGGGAAATAACTTTGTAAAACTTTGTAAGTTTGTTATATAACTAAAGCTTCTCTTTAAATTTTGCTCATTTTTAACTGTTCTGTATTGTTGCTGTTTCCATGTATTATTTGCGGCATTTCCATTTACGAATGTAATGGACTCACTTATGTTCTAATCTTTAAAATGCTTGATGCATACACACACACACACACACACGAATGATGAATGAGCTGGTGTTAAAAATTCAGCGCTCAATCCTGTTTTTCCAGGATTTTGGTTTTTACTAAGACCAGCACTAGGTTCAGGGTCCCTAAGACTGGCCCTTGCTTATTCTCGTTTTTATTTTGAAGGCTTTTAAAAATTTTGCAGAGAGGTGTAGAGCAATTTAGCTCCCCTTCCCCTTAGTTTCCTGCTGATTCCTCCCTGATTGTTGCCACAGTCGTCTCGCCACACCCAGCTGCCTTCCCTAACCTTGCTGATTGTCTTGCAGGCTCCTCTTATGGGATTTTGCAGTTCTTCTCCAGCACCTTTGTGGTAAGTTAACTTCTTTAGTATGTTATCCTCCATTCAGTACCTCCGTGGTACGTTATCCTCCATCCAGTACCTCCGTGGTACATCATCATCCATCCAATACCTCCGTGGTACGTTATCCTCCATTCAGTACCTCTGTGGTACATCATCATCCATCCAGTACCTCTTGTGGTACGTTATCCTCCATCCAGTACCTCCGTGGTACGTTATCCTCCATCCAGTACCTCCGTGGTACATCATCATCCATCCAGTACCTCCGTGATACATCATCATCCATCCAGTACCTCTGTGGTACATTATCCTCCATCCAGTACCTCTATAGTATATTATCCTCCATCTAGTACCTCTGTAGTACATTATCCTCCATCAAGTTCTGCTCTATCTGGCAGCCCATAGTCACATACCACTGGGGATCATCCACATGGTGCTTATAAACTGGGAGGTTTGAGGGTTACTGAGTACTGGATGTACAGATGGTTAGAAGATAGGAGGAAGACTAGAATCCTGTCCTCTGCCCTTCTTTGTCCTATGGGAAATTGTGTGCTTCAAAGACTCAAATGGCGTCTTCTGTAAGGCACACTGAGCCAGTAGTACACCTTGGGGAGAAGGAGTATTACATTTATAATATGCCATCCCTGTCATCCAGGGATGATTTTTGTACTGGAGAAAAGAATGTAAACAGAATTTACCACCTACATTATTCATTTTACGTAATCGACATCAGTCAAACCCGCCTGCATTTCTAGCATTCTGTATGGAAGTGTGTACACTGAGCTAAGTTCCTCCTCATACATGAGAGCACTCAGCAGAAACCACTCTAATGTATTGGTTAGATCCAAAAAATGGAGTAGGGGGATTAGTTTTCTCCCTCTTCCTGGCCATTCGGTAGCGTGCAATCCAGAGACTGCCATTGAGCATCCCTGACCGTCTCCCTAAACCAGCCCACTGGGCATGCTGGAGACCCAGGGTCCATCAGTTGCGAGTTCATAGTCATCTACTTATTCTCACAGATTGACAGCTATGGCTGATTGAAGCAGCAGGCTAGCATCTTACATTTAGTAGACTTGTGTTTTCCTTGTTGCTTCCTTGTTAAGGGATAAGTAAATTTAAAAGAAATTGAATAGGATTCTATAATAAATTGTCAAATAGGTAAATAATTACTCCCTGGTTTATCTTTCATTTAAGTTTTAAGACCCTAAACTTGTAGGTACTGAAGAGAGGGTTCAGCAGTTGGGAGCACTTTCAGAGGACCCAGGCCTCAGCTCTTAGCATTACATGACAGACAGCTCAAAATTGTCTGGCCAGGGAATACAGTCTCTCTCTCTGTCTTTTTTTTTTTTCTTTTGAGACAGGTAGTCTCTGTGTAACTGTTTGTGTCCTGGAAGTCCCTAGGTAGACCAGGTTGGTCTTGAACCTGCAGAGATTTGTCTGCCTCTCAAGTGCTGGGAGTAACAGCATGTGCCTCTGTGCCTAGCCCAATCCAATGCCTTTTGTCTTCCTCAGACACTGCGCCCACATGTGATACAGGCATCTATACAGGGAAAACACTCAGGCACATAAAACAAAAATAAGTGCATCTTTTAAAATGTTAATTTACATAACACTCAAGTTTATTCTCACTTGACTTTGTAACATTCCAGTTCCTAGCTCCCTTTTATAATTGAAGGAAGTTAAGACTCACAGGCTTTAAGTAATTTAACTCTATCATCTAATCTCAGATTCCAGAATGAAATTGTTATTTTTTTCCCTAAAAGTCACCGGCCATTACTTTGCTGGTGGGAGAAGGTGAATAGCAGGGCTGTGACATAGTGATGTAGTGCCTCTTAGTGTGCCAGGTGCCTTCTCGGCTCTTCTCTGCACAGTCCTCTGCACAGTCAGAGAGATGCCTGGAGCCGCCGGTCAGGCACCATGTGTGTCTCACACTCATGTGAGGAAAAGATGTAGGGAATTTTAACCAATCCTCCGCTGCTTCATTTGGAAATTCAATCCCAAAGTCTTCCTGTGTCTGGATCTCAGATCTCAGAACAGAGATGGTGGTGCAGGCTAGTCCTCCAATGCTCCTCTCCTCCCTCCTGCTGGCCTCTGGCTTCCTAGGATGAAGATCAGGGATAGGGAGTGATAAGTGATCAGGTCCGAACCCAGACAGCTTGGCCCAGAACCCAGGGTGTAGAACTATCTGATTATACCACTAACCCATGACACAAGGTGGTCCATGCTCGGAAGAATGTGGAGCCATCTCTGAAACCCTTTGAAGTAAAGACTGGGGAAAAGGGATTGATAGCATTTGTAGGATGTTTGTATTGGGGCAGGATTTACCATTGGAACGTTTTACAGAGCACTGTGAAGATTTAGTAACTGTTTCTATCTTTAAATTCACATTTGGAGTTCCTAAGGTGAACAGGTGTGTTTGGCTTTTGGCAAGAAGAGAGGTGGGCTGTGGTTCCGTTGTTAACTGGAGATGGTGGGGAGTGTGGCTCTTCACTAAATCTCGAGGGAAGCAGGACACAGTGCCAGTCCCCTACCAGCAAGGGTGAAGGAAGTACTCTCTAACTCTCCTGTAGCTTACAGAGCTACTCAGGTCCCACACCTTGGTGATGTACTAACCCGGAGGAGGAGAAGGAAGAGCTAACAGGCTGACTACACCCCAGGCAGGGATTTGGTACACTCTGACTGGCACTTCATCCTGCTACAAGGCTGGCTATATTTTTAGCTGGGGTGTGGCTGTGAGGGAAGGGAGGAAGTATACGAACAATTAGAGAGCTGGCCTGGACCCCTGCCCACCTTGCCCTCCACCCTGGGAAGGACCACCCTCTCTGGGCCCTCTTTCTCCCACTCTGGCCTGTGCTTGCATAGATTTGGGACCATGAAGATTGGTTTTTTTTTCTTATTTACTTTCTTTTTCAGTATTTTTTTAAACAACCTAGTTTCTGGGGAGTGTAGCTGCATAAAACAATAAAAATGAAGACAAAAATGAGGCTTTGGAATTTAGCCTGGCATCTCGCCCTCCAGTGAATCTCTCAGCTACTAGATCATCAGGCATCTTGTTGGATGTGGCATTTTGGTGTCACTCACCTTGTGGGATGGGCTAGAGAAAGTAGCATGTGTGGTACATGCCATGGCAGGACTGTATCCCTATCCCACTCCCTGGCATGTCCATGGCCCATATTGTACTGGTGTCTGTATGGTGGTGGTTGCTATTGGAGACCTTTGCTTGTTCCTGTCAGGGCTGCTGGAGTGATGTGGTTGGAAGACGGTCCTCCTTGCTGGCGTGCATTCTGCTCAGTGCCCTGGGTTATCTCCTACTTGGAGTGTCCACCAACGTGTTCCTGTTTACTCTGGCTAGAGTCCCTGCGGGTGAGTTCTTTCCCACCCCCTGGAAGTAAATTTCTCGATAGAAACCTGAACCTGCTTAATAATGGCTCTTCGGTCAGAGCTTAGCTTCAGAGGCCAATGGCTGTAGTTGTGACAACAGTAACCGTTTGAGCAGTGGCTGCTGTGTATTGAGCATTTACTATTGGCACACTGTCTGGTAGCTTACCAAAGCTCCCACCATAGCTCAGGTCAGAGCCTATCAGAGATTCGTTAGCGTGCATGACTCTGCCGCACCTGACCTGTCTCTTCCCCGTCGCCCTCCCTCTCCATGTCTGTTCAGACAATTAAGAGCATGTGAGATGTCTTTTGGCCCGCACTGTGATTCGCTCTGAGACAGCTCAGTGGTGCAGCCCTCTGGAAAAGCAGACTGCTGCCTGAAGGAGAGTCTGCATTTCTACATGTGGAGGACCTGCAGCTGACCCCCTCCCTCCAGACTGCTCTTGACTGTTGCTGACACCGTGGAATTGCTGTCATCTTTCCCCGAGATGTTTTACCCACTCTTGGAAACCGCACTGTTAGGTGTGCGGTGTGTGGGAACCGCTATGGAAACTGTATCCCTCCTTGCCTTTCTTAGCGTCCAGAGCCCCGCATCTCACCAGTTTTCTTTCCCTAGCTAGTGTAGCATGGACAGACGTCGTGACCCTAATCACAAGGCCCTTGTTAAGTCAGCTACTTGTTCCACACTAACACCGCGGAGAGCAGAGCACTCCACCACTAGCAAAATCATCTGACCTGCCCTCCGAACACGAAAGCTGTGGAGGCGCCTCCCACATTTAAATCAGCGGTTTTGCTGTCGGCTTTACATTTACAAGTTCTTTAAGTGTGGTCCCCGATCCTCACACACCCCTGCACTCCATTCAAGATTATAGGTAGCGTCTGTTCACACGCATCTTTGTGTGCATTTATTATGTCATTGTTTGTGCGCAGTGGATCTCAGGACTGCACCTCACTGTACTCCACCGTTCTCTCTCACCTCCTCTTCCTAGTTCTCTACAAACTTTGTAGGGAGGTGAGTGAGAACCTAAATCTGTTTGCAAAGCAGGTAGAGATTTAAGAGGAGGGTGGGATTATTTTCCCTTGGTATGAGTGGCCCAGTCCAAACAGCCATGTTTCTAATGCATGGACATCATGGTCTTTGCAAACAATAGTAGAACTAGATTCGTTCATGCCCCCACCTGACCCTTCCCAGTGTCTGGGGATCATGAATGAGATGGAGTGCTGGGAACGTTGCCAGGCTTCTGGTTTTGCGGTGGGTTGTAGACTCGGATCCTGTTATCCTGATGTTGTGCCTGCACTAGGCATCTGTTCTTCCGTTCCCAGCCTCTAAAGAGCTCTGCCCTCACCCAGTAGTCCTTCCATCACAAGGTGAACCCAGCATGGCTATGATTTCAAAGAAATGCATGAAGTCCCTTAAAGAGGTCCTAAAAATTTTTCCCCCAGCCCAGCCCTTCTTCATACTTCAGAGAACAAGGCTAGAAAGATGCTAAGCAATTCTAAAAGGGATCTGTAAGTTTGTTTCCAGAAGAGCTGTCCAGTGTGTCCAGTGCACATATTCTCATTCTGAGCCAGAAACTAGGAGTACACTTGGCAGCACCATGCTGGGCCAAGCCAGATCCCATAAAGAGGCCGGCGGAGGCCACTGTGTTGAGTCACAGCTTGGAATGATGGGCAGCGATCTGCAGGGAGCTCATATTAGCTTGTATTACATGCCGACCAAAGTGGCAGGTGACCCATTCCCAGGGTCTGTCGGTCTGGTCATAAGTATTCCTCACATGTACATCAGATAATCCTCTGCAGCATACAGGCATGCTGAAGCCATTGGGTAGCCAGCAGACAAATTCACAAGTCTTAGACTAGTAGGAAGCAGTTGGCCTTGGTTAGATGAAGCCACCATCACATGCACTGGTGTCTTACGAGCGTGTGGCAGTTGGTTTTGATTAGATGGAAATGCCTCATGTTTTTCCTCACATGTATCCTCTCCGCTATCCCTGCCCATATTCCTCATTACCTCCTAATACATTCTCTATAGTCTACCCCAAGAAAAACCCATGTTCCACAAGGGTGGATTTAGCGATTTGTGTTTGTTTTGTTGTTGCTGTTTTGCTCCATTTGGTTAGCTCGTTGCTTTATCCACAGGTTGAGATTAGTAGTGGCATAGGGTAGGTGTGCAGTAATAGTTTGCAGCGAGGGAGGGGAGAAGGCATGCTCACCAGGTAACTATGAGGAAACCACCCCATTGTGTGGTTAAGGGTTTCATTATAGGTAAAAGAAAATATCCAGAGAAGACAGGGAGAGACATAGGCTGGAGGTTCTAGGAGAATGGGGGAGAAGAGTGGAGATAGTAAGATAGCAAGAGATAGTGAGTAGAGGAGAATAAAGGACAGCAAGAGATAGAGAAAAAGAGACAATACAGTGAGAAGAGTGGGGCACTGGGGAAAACCTTGCCATTCGCAGGAAAACGAGGGAAGTAGGTGCTGGCATGAACTTTGGTGTGTCTAGCAGGTGCTTACGGTACTGAGGAAACCTGGAGGCCAGCATGGGCTTTGAATATGAACCACAGGAAGCCATTTGTCCCTTCTGCCAGAAGTAAGGAAATGACTCCTTTGGCAGATGGGAACTTCTTCACAAGTCACTTTTATTTAACTGCCAGAATTCTTCCCATAGCTCACGTTGAGCTCATGTATGGATATTTGGAATGCCGAGACCTAACAGCCACCAGGAATTTCAAATGGATAACAAGGAATGGTTGGGGTGTCATTACAAGATATAGCCAAACTGAAGTCGAAGGCACTCAGTGCTAGAGATAAGGTGACCAATTATTGACTCTGGCTTTGGATTCCATTTATAATAGCATGAGTTCTGTCCGCCGTAGTGGTCCAGAGAAAAAGCTAGCAAGGATTCCATTTGGGGCAGGGAGGAAGGGTAGCACAGAGGGGTCAGCCCCTCCAGAGTGCAGACAGTTACAGAGCACATTTCTTCTCCCTTGCAGGTATTTTTAAACACACCCTCTCCATCTCCAGGGCACTGCTTTCTGACCTGGTCACAGAGAAGGAACGACCCTTGGTCCTGGGACAGTTCAACACAGCCTCAGGCGTGGGCTTCATCCTGGGCCCTGTTGTTGGCGGGTATCTGACGGAGCTGGACGGTGGGTTCTATGTGACGGCTCTCATCTGCTGCTCAGTCTTCCTTCTCAATGCTGGTGAGTTAAGCGCATGCACCCCGTCTACCTACTTCTAACTTCTTGTGATTTTTATTAATACAGAATGGGCCCATGTATGGCTAGGGGAAAGGCTCGGGGATGAAGAACTCTTCCTGCCCTCACAGAGGATCAGAGTAGGATTCCCAGCAGCTGCATTGGTGGCTCACAGCTCTCTGTAACTTGAGCTCCAAGGAATGTGGTATCCCTCTTCTGACCCCGTGGGCCTCACTGTGCAAGTGCAACTCATACAGACACATACACTCACACACCCATTAATAAAATAATATTACTAATAATAGACTAGGCAGAGTCATTGTTTAAGAACGAATGTTAACTTGAAGGTGCTCTCTGCTGCTCCCAGTGACCCGAGGAGTTGTGTCCCCACCAGCACTGTGCGGGCTTCCCAACCTTCTGTATCCCACTCTCACTGTTTTTGTAGCTGTGATCATCCAATTAGAGGAGGAGGGAGCATCCTACTGTGGCTTTGACTTGAACATCCGTTTGTTGATGAAGTTGGGTGCCATTTTGCTGACCATTTGATGGAGAAGCATATAGTCTTTTGCTAAATCTTGTTTTATTTTGTTTTGTCTTTGTGCTGTTGAGTTGTATGGCTAGTATATTAACTTTAAAAAATACTTTATGAAAGTTTAATCACTATACATGTGAAATACTTGGGATACTAATATAAAACATAAGTAGGCCATAAGCAGCAGTGCAAAATGGCAAATTTTGATGATTTTCCCAATCTGCTATCTGGGAAACACTTATTCTTCAGATGAATTAGTTTTATAATTTAATTGTTTAAGAATCCCGTACATTATATTTCGAGGAAATTCATCACTCCCAAGATACACTCCCCTATTCCATACTCAAACAGCTTGTGTCTTCATTGAAAAGACAAAACATTAGTGCTGCCCGTATGCTCTTAAGTGTGTCAGTGCACTGGAGGGTGTTAGACTACCAGGGCCGCACCCCTAGGTTAAACTCTCTCTCTCCTGGCTGGCAGCAGTCACCAGTAGCTGCTCACCTGAAGTGGGACTTTGTGCCCACCTTCCTCCTCCACGCTGGGGTTTTGTCCGACTTAATATTAACTTTTTTATCACCAGATACTGGGGTTGGAAATAACAGCTATTCTTTACATTGCCCTTTGCCTTCAGAGACTGTTTCTCCTGCAGTGCGGAAGGGCTTTGGTTTGCTCTAGGTCTGCTGTCCCGTTGTGCATTGGTTGCCTATCCTCATGGTAGCATACCCAGAAACGCCAATGCCAAGTCCAGTTCTCAGAAGCCACCTGCGCCCCCCCCCCCGTTTCCTTCCTCTTTAATCCATTTCAAACTCACTTTTGTGTGTGACATATGACAGGGACCAATTCCATTATCTTGCATGATGTGTATTATCTTAGTTATAAGTTATATGAAAACATCTCTATTTTTAATAGAGCTGTTAAATTTTTCAATAAAATATGGAAGTTTAAAACAGCAGCTATGCATTTTCCTGCCACAACCTCCTTAATGCCCCCATCTTGGCGTCATGGTTTTATTTATCCTTCACAGTGATGGCAATGCCATGGTGCCTCTGCCACCTGCACCGCCACGCAGCCTTCCTGGCCTACCTCCCAAGTGCAGGCGGGTCCCACAGCAAGGCTTTGCACCAAGTTTGTCCTCTGCTAGGCACATATTATTTTCATGTGTCTCTCCCAGCTCTCTTCTTCTGGTCCTTCTCTTCTCAGTCATTCACCTCACTTGTCTTTGCCTGTTCATTCTGAACAAAACCAGACAAGGGTCCTTCATAACACTTCCAAAATTCCGATACTGTTTCCGTTTCATGCTTTTTTAAAATATTGTTTAAAAGTACATTTTAATTAAAATATAATTAGATCTCTTCCCCCTTCCCTTTCCTCCTCCCAGCCCTTCCATGTCCCCTCTGCTCACTGTCAAAATGATGGCAGCTTCTTTTTGATTGCTATTGACTGGCGTGCATGACTGCGTGTTTACATGTGGTGAATTCTTGCACGAGGACACAACTGACCTGGTGAAGGTGGTGGCTGTTTTGTTTGGAGAACAACGTACTATATCTTTGGAGCCCAGTAAAAGTGCTGCTTAGAATTCAGCCTCATGAACATGTAGACCGATGTGGGTCTATTAGGAATGTGGAGTTGCACACATTCCCAGCCACAGTGACTGACGTACTAGAGATCTCTTGCTTGCCACTTTAAACATCTGGGACTAGGCATGCTGAGGCAATGCAGGGCATACCAAAGACATGGGGAAACGACCAGGCTAGGCAGAGAGTCCTGGTGTCTTCACCTGGGAAGCCTCTGGTTTTCCCATTCTGGGACTGCCCTCAGACCTTCTGCTCTAACTGGAGCTTTTCCAGCTAGGAAAGCAGGCTGTGGTACCTTCCAGACTCACACTCATTTCCTGCCTTGCTGTTTATTCATGCAGATGTTAGAATGTCTCTTCTGTTTTCTCACCTACTGTGCGCTAGCAGAACTCATGGCCTTGCTACAGGAACCAGGGAGACTTTGCACAGAAGCAGTTTTACCCAAGTATCATCATCATCATGATTTTGAGACAAGGTCTCTTGTAGCCCAGGTTAACCTCCAACTTGTTATGTAGCTGAAGATGACTCTGATCCTCCTGCCCCTGTCCTCTGGATGCTGGGATTCCAGGTGTGTGTCACCATCTCCACTTCATGTTGGGATAGAACCGGGGCCTTGTGCACACTAGACAAGCATTCTATTAACTAAGCTGCACCCTCAGCCCCTTATTTTATTCTTTTAATTCTACTCTTATTCTGAGACTCTCAACAATACTTTTTTTGTGTTTTTATGAGGATTCCTTGATAAAATGGTCCTCTTAAAGGTAAGAGTGGACTAAAAAAAAAAAAAACAAACCACCAGGTCTATGATTAATTGCGGTTCCTTTTTTGTCGTGAAAGTGTTCCCGACTGAAATCGTTACACAGTATTGGACAAAGCCATGTACTCATGCGGCTGTTGAAAACAACGTGAAGCACCCATTGGGTCAGACTGAACTCGGAGTACAGAAAGACCATTAAAAGATATACTTGGAAAAATGTCTTAGAATAGGGAACATGAGCTCAACTCTAAGGAATTTTCTAAGCACGGATGGCTAAGAGTTCCTTAAAAGACTCAAGGCAGAAGCATGCCAGTCAAGGGGTCAGTGGTTGGCTTGTCTGAATGGCGATCTTATCTGCTGCCTAAGGCTGGGTGGGTGTCATGGTCCCTGTGCATGGCACTCTGTAGTTTCGCAGGTGTGATCTGTGAAAACACCTGGTGGCCCCAGGTGGAGAAGAAGCCAGCTGGTGTTTTCTGATAGTCACTGCTTTCCAGCTCTCTCCTGGCCGTTGGCCACAGCCCATCATGACTGTTCTAGCATCCTGTCCCTCTCTCAGCTTGGCCCTTACATTGTAAGCCAAGTTGCCTGTTGACTTGTCTGAATCTCCATTTATGGGTTTTATGAAGGCGGGGTTTTCACAGAGCTTTGGCTGGTCTATTTGTGCATTCCTGATGTCAGTAGCACACTGTAAAAGCACTCTGTAAACTGTGTGTGCTCATACGATGGGACAGATGAGTGGACAGGGAGTTGGATAATTAGGAAGTTTGTTGAGAGAAGCATTTATATCTATACTAATGAATGTAAGAACATCGCTACGAAGTGATGGGACAGGGGAAGCCAGCACCCGAGCTGGGAAGACGAACTGTTCTGTGTGTAGTTTCAGTAGATTTTATAAAGCTCAAGAGTCCATTGCAGGGGTTCTGGTGCCATTGCCGAACTGTGGGATGGTGGGGAAGCTGGAATCAACAAGTAAATGTAGTATAAAGTACAGGTGAGTGATCTCATACAATACTCCTTTATGGAGTCACCATCAGAATTCAGCACACTGGCCACGTTAACAGGTCTCTTGCCATTTTATTAGGTCTCGTTTGGGTGTTGCCTTGGAGAGAAACAACCCTCAAGAGCGCAGAGGATGCTTGGAGCTCGGATGAGAAGCACGCTACAGTGCCCAAAGAGTCAGCAGGTACAAGGCAAGGAGCAGCCACCTCCACTAAGGCCAGGAGGAGTGAGAAGAAAGTGCAGAAGCCCTGGCTTGAAGTCATGTCGGCCTTGAAGGACATGAAGAGCCTCCTATTTTCTGCACTGTGGGACATATTTCTCGTGCGCTTGCTGATGGGGGTGGCTGTCATGCTGTACTACAGTAATTTTGTCTTGGCCCTGGACGAGCGTTTCGGGGTGCGACCGAAGACCACCGGGTACCTCATCAGCTACACCAGTGCCCTGGGCACCCTGGCTGGCTTCGCCGTGGGGCCCATTCTCCGACTGTACAAACACAACTCGCACATGGTCCTGCTGCACTCCAGTGCCCTCACCTGCTCGCTGCTGCTGCTCTACTCCGTGGCCGGCACCATGCATGTGGTGGTCCTTTCCTCCACGCTTCTGTCCTTCTCCACCTCCATCGGGAGGACCTGCATCACTGACCTCCAGCTGAGTGCCGGCGGGGCCCAGGCCAGCGGCACCGTCATAGGTGTGGGCCAGTCCGTGACCGCAGTGGCTCGTGTCATTGCTCCTCTCCTCTCAGGGGTTGCCCAGGAGCTCAGCCCCTGCGGCCCCCCAAGCCTGGGTGCTGCTTTAGCCCTGGTGGCAGTTTTAATCATGTCACGAAACAAACCTCATTCCAGTGGGCACGGGAATGAGAAACTAAAACCGGAGTAGGGCAGATGGGGAGCCCATAGAGAAGCTGAGTTAGAAGCGGGCAAATCAGGGACAAAGACTGGTTGGTCAGAAGGGCACTTCAGGGAGGGCGCCTTGTCTAAATGCAGTCATGGCTGCGGCCAGCCCTCACCTGCACAGGGATACCAGCAGGACCGCCACAAGTCAACCACAGACAGGAAAGTTTAGGTTGAGCACAGCTCGGCCCAGCATCCCATCAGTATTCAAAGCTTACCTGAATGGCTTCTCTTCCCACCTGGGCCAGTAGAGTTAACATTTGCTTCCTGGAAAGGCAGCAGCTGCAGAGAGGTGAAAATAGTGGTGGCAGGGGCAACTGGCTTGCGGGAGGATGGAAGAAGCAATGTCCCAGTGAAACAGAGCTGCCAAGTTCATCTCATGTTGGTCAGTTTGGTGCAATGCAGATTTTCTGTTAAACCCAGAAGCCAAAAGTTGCTTCCCTATCAAAATCCCAGAGACTGGAGGAGCCGCTTTATTTAAATCAAGCTGTTGCTTTCTCCACTGGTAAAATCTCAGATGCTGAACTCACCCCCAGACACATAGATGCACAGGCCTTTCAAGGCCAGATGTGGGGTTTTAAACACTGGTGGTCATTTCCCATGGGTGTGAGGGACAGCTGAGGGCTGATAGACTTAACTCATTTTGATTAAAGTAAAAGCTAGGGACTGTGCTGTTTTTATAGCTAACTGAACCCCCCCCCCCCACTTATGTTTGCACTGTGGTAAACCACCTTTCCCACCAGTCATGAACCAGTCTGCGTTAGAGAGCAGCAGCTCTCCGGGTGGCATTCTCTGCTCTTTGGGACGAAATCTCTTTGGACTTTGAGAAGATCTCTGATCTGGAAGCTTGGGCTCTGAGGAATTGGGTCCTTGTGGTGTTAACATGCTAGCTGGTAGTGAAGGAAAAACAAGAGTGGTGTTGGCATAAACGTTCTACACAGAGAAAGAGTCAAGGCCATCCCAAACCAGGGAAAGACAGGCTCTGCTGGGGCTTTTGAAAGGCATTGATTTGCTTTATTTCATTTGACTCTGGTGCCTGGGAAGAGCTAGGTTGATTAATGGGAGTGTGGATGTGTCTTTCCCTGTGACTTTAAGCCACCACTGTCCCAGCACCCAAGAGACGCTCAGAAGCGTCTCTGCTTCACAGACTCACATGGGCCAGCCGGTTGACCACTGGGGTTCCTTTGATTGTTTAGGAGCATTACTTAGGGGCCCACCTTCTCACGAACACCCCAAATTCACATTCCTTTTAATCCTCCTGATTATCCCACTAGTATATTTTGCCCATTTTTACCCTCACATAGCATGTAATAGTGAGTGGCATTTTAATGCACTAATGTTTTATAACTCTAATGTTTACTATTTATAAATCAAAAGAAGGTGTTTCCGTAGTTTTAGAAGTTGTAGGTAGGATAAACTCAAATATTTATGACAGTTGAAAGTACTTTTCAACTTTTCCTCTTTGGCTGCAGAAAAAAAAAAGTTCTGTTTAAAGTTGTTTCCACTGTGAGTTTAACACAGGAGCTAAAAACTCTTAAGAGACCAAAGCATGGTATGAATGGCCATGCCCTCGTGCAGCAACTGAGTGTCTTGCAGACTGGGCTCAGAAGGACAGTAGTGAATGGTTATTATGAGGTAATGAAGTAAGGTTTCAGAAGTGTTCTCCAAAGACTGTTTGCACTCTCAGAGACAGTGGGTTTTTTGTTTTGTTTTGTTTTTGTTTGTTTTACAAATGCTTATGGTAGCCATGTTTGTTTTTTAAAACCATAGCACTTTATTATTTAAGTTGAATCTGTAAAATCAATGAGGCTTTAAAATTAATAAGAGACATGGAGAGCCTGAAATCCAGAATCAGCCCAGTATCTGGAGAAACGCTGGTAGCCTCTAACAGTGACTTTAGTGATTTGTTGATCTGGTGGTTGTTTGTCTGATTGTTTGTTTGCTCTTTTTCAGTCAGTGTGTTCTCATATTTCATCTTGTCTGCTGTCCCGTCCAGAATGTGGTCCATGGACCACCATGCCCTGCGATATGTCCATGATCCAGCCCCAGTACATTCCTGCCAGGGACCACTCTGAGGAGCTGGCTAGCTGATTTGTTTACACAGAAAGCCTTGGTGGCCACTGATCTGGTGAATGACATTTATGTTTCATGGAATAAAATCTCAGGGAAATTAAATCTTATTGGTTAACCTTTGTGTTGTGTTCTTTAAAGTCTCTTGCATGGCGTTCACAATCCTTTCTAAGATTGAGCCACACAAATCTGTTTCTGTATAAGTGAAAAATACCTTCATATAGTTTAACTTGGAGCTGTGTGGAAATTTGCTTTAGAGATATGGAGTGTTTATGAAGGGAGCTACTCCCGCCCCGCATGCCAGCCACAGGTGAATGCCGTGCAACAGGGCTCCCATGAAGCCCCATGTTTCAGAAGGTATGACTTTCCCACAAAGCAGAAGGTGCCCAGCTCAGTCAGAGGGATGAAAAAAAGATGGGGACCAGGGAGACATTTTTTGAAGGCTCAGCCCTAAACTGATTGGCCTGAACACTGACCTGTGCATCGTACTTTCTGGAGCCCACCAAAGGGGGCAAGATAATGCAGGTTCTCTCCCTGACTGCATGCCTTGACCCCCAAGGTCCAGACATTTAACACTCTTAGGATGGAGAATCACTGGGGAGAATCTGAAGAGGGCCGGGGAGCTCCCTTGCCATGCTCGGTAGAATAGTTTTATGGCTGATATGGATCACTGCTCCCAAACACATGATTTTAGTAAGATCATCTGGCTGGAGTAGGAGGTACGTAGATGCTGAGACGAAGCAGTGTGGACATGATACAGTGATCCGTGTGATGCCAGGAGGGACAAATGGCTGTGTGGATATCAGGAGGCCAAGAGGAGAAGAAATCTGTGCTAGCCAGGTTGATGTCAACTTGCGATAAGCCAAAGTCAACTGAGAAAAAGGAATTGCCTCCATAAGATCAATCAGTAGGCAAACCTGCGGAGCGTTCTTTAATTAGTGGCTAGTGTGGGAGAGTTCAGCGCATGTGAGTGGTGCCATCTGTGGACTGGTGGTCCTAGGTGCTGTAAGAAAGTAGGCCCAGCAAGCCTTAAGGTCCAAGCGAGGGGGCACAAGCCAGTAACAAGTGTTCCTTCATGGCCCCTGTGTTAGCTGCATCAGCTGCTTCCTCCAGGTTCCTGCACTGTTTGAGTTCCTGTCCGGACTTCCTTCAAGGATGAACAGTGATGTGGAAGTGTGAAGCAGCTCCTTTCCTCCCCGACTAGCTTTCCCGCTAGGGTGTGTCCTCACAGCAATGGAGACAGAGCAAAAGCACACAGAAAAATGGTAGGAGATAAAAATTCTAGATTGCGACGATGGAAACCTGGTGTTTTTATCAGTCGATTTAAACTATTATATCTTAAATAAAAATCCTGCGCGTACACTGAAGGAAAATGAATGCAATTAAAAGGGAAGGTGACAGTTGTGGACGCGGGCAGAGCTAACCTTTTCTTCAGGCTTGTCTCGGACTCATTACTGAATGCCCTGTACACCCTTCAGTAACATTCATTCTAAGACCCCCCAAAGGACATCCCTGGGATGAATGGCAGTGTCAAACCTCACATAGCCTGGTTTCTCCTAAACAGACACTCATTTACCTCCTCCCTCCCCCACCCCCAACTGTTGTACTGTTTCCAATTTAGGTGGTAGAGCAGATGTAGCATGATCATCTTGATCCTGTTTCCCAGTTTCACCAAAGGGTTTATTCTTTTGTCCCAAGCTGAGAGCATTCCCCTTTGGGCTTGCAGCAAGCACTTTAGAGCTTCCCTTTGGCAGCTCAGCGCTGCATCCTGAGTGCAGTGGGGCCTAGAAGAACACAAGCAGTGCAAGCCGTGCATTATCAGCACTGTTAATGTCATAGCCAAGATGGCTGCTAAGTCCCTAACATCCAGGTAGGTGCACAGGGACAAAGGGCAGAGCAGCCTAGGACAAGCTATCCGTCACTCTACTCACATTGGCGCGCATTGCAAACTCATATTGATAATTTCTAGGGTTTTCATGTAATGTTTTCTGGATCTTGGCCACAAATAACTGGAACTACTTAAAGAGAGGCTTCAGTTACATAAGGAAGGGACTACTATATTCCATTCTGGATTGTTGTTTGGTGAAGTAGCTTATTTAACTAAATCTGTCCCAAACTTGCTTGTTGAAGGAAAAATGGTGTGAAATGCCCAGGATAAACCCGGTGTTGCCTAGGTCCTGTTGTGATTCTGCCGCCATCATCACCATTTATTCCTGAAGCCAGTTTGTTCCGTGAGGCTGATGTCCTGGTCTCTGCTTCAGAGCCAACATAGACAGGGCCAGTCAGTGACATCACTGGCAAGCGTGACTTCTTGAGTCACCGTGAAAGTACCTTCACTGGACCCTCTATTTGGAATGAAGTCTTGGATGTGGCACAAGTCCCTAGAGCACATATGTAAAGTGTTAAAATGAGGGACAGGACTGGTTCTGTGTATGCAGAGTTCACATATAAACAAAGTTTCAGTTGAAAATAGGAAAGGACCCATCGAAGCTGCACTAATGTGTGTTTATCTGCTCGGCAGCTAACACAACTGTCCACATGAATGTCTCTTTTTCCGACCTCTGCAGTGGCTGGCCCCTCTCCAGGCAAGTCAGTTTAGTGTGGAGTAGATGACACGTATACTATCATATTTTATTATATACGTGTATAAAATCCTCAGCAAATGAAACGATGATAAAACAACAAGCAGAGAAAATAAACAAAAGCCCAGGGCACGAGTTCGGTCATAAGCGTTCCTTTTCAGCAAGGTGGGAACCGTGTGCCACCCACCTCTCCTATCGCTATGCCTGTAGTTTCTGCATCCCCGGCTCCAACCCACTTGCTGTGGAAGATGCAAAGAAAAAACAATTGACTTGTTTATTCTGTCATCTCCCCTTCAGCACTGCAGGGCACTTTTCTGAAGGAGTGTGTGCATGTTAAGTATTCTGGGTCCTCTCAAGATGAGTAAGTCTACGGAGGATGTGCTTGGGTTCTGTGCAAACATTGCAATATCTTATCTAAGTGACCGAAGCCTCTGCAGATTTTCATGTCCTCCAGGGGTCCCAGAATCCATGCTTTCATGGTGTTCAGGGCTCAGCAGATAGTGTCAGCAGTCACTTCATCTGGACAAAGCCATATTTTTAATCATCCTTCAGAAATAAAGCCCAATGTGCCCTTTGAAGTGGCACGAATATTCCTGTTCTTATCATTGCTGATAAAATGGCAGTTTTAACCCAACAAATGCAAAATGTGTGAAGACAACCTCTTGACCACACTTTTTATATAAATAAACACCCCCACTGCACATAAAAGAATGAATGAAATTCCATCTTAGACATTTGGAGGATATCCACAGAACACATACTTTCTGAAGTAAAGTGTTGGATTCGGGTGCCAAGTTTTCTTCACTTGCTGGCTATCTGAAAGCTTCAAGCACTGGATTTCATGCCTAGGCAGTGCAAACATAATGTGTTACAATGATCAGGAGAACTCTCAAAATTCTCCAGCTCCTAGGAACTTAGATTGAGTTGGGTGATGTTTAGACAAAGGAAGTCATTTACTAAGGATGGAGGTGCTTTCTACACTTCAGAAATTTAAATTGTTATTCCACTTGAAGAGCTACATTTCTTGGTTTTTTGTTTTGTTTTGTTTTTTGTTTATTTGTTTTGAAAGAGGGTTTCTCTGTATTACTGCCCTAACTGTCCTGGAATTTTCTCCGTAGACCAGGCTAGCCTCAAACTTACAGAGATCCGCTAGTCTTTGCCTCCCAAGTGCTAAGATTAAGGTGTGCACCACCGCCACCCAACAAATTTCATTTCTTCACTACCCTTTTTTTATGGTGCCTGGAATCAAGTAATTATCAAAATAAGAAAGTACAGAGAAAGGCTAACATCAAATTTATTTTATTGACTTTGTCATCAAACAAATTTTAAAAATTTAAACTGATAATAATTAAAATAAATTACTTAGGTATTCCTTTTCTGAAATGTATACAATGTCGCTCAGATATTTAATGTGATGTTTTCTTTAGTGAAAGCTGATTTTGGTCTGATTATTTAGCCTGAAATGTCATAACATCCTATTTCATGTTTCTTCTTTCAGAATCAGAAAGGTATTATTCTTTGTATTATTCATTCATCTAGAAAACCAGTAAAAGTATTTGAAGGTGATTTTCAACGTCTGCCTTCCTCGCCAGAAGTCATTATTATCACTATGAAGGAATACATGGTTTATAAAATATAGTCATTTAAAATAGAGATTTTTTTTTTTTTTGGCACAGAGTCCTAAGCATGTGGCTTTCCAGTTGTGTTTTACACAGCTTTCTCTGGATCTCTCTGGGGTAGCTGGGGACGGGCATGCTCTAACTGTGCTTTCTTCCCCTGTCACGTGATGGCCTAACCGTATCTCAAGACAGGAACTCCAGAAAAGCCACATTGATGAGGGCAGAGAGCCTGTCTGTGACACTTAGCATGTTCTTCCCCTCTGTCCTTGTTAATTTTTGTTGTCAACTTGAAATGGCGTAGAGTCACCTGGGAAGAAGGAATATCAATGGAAGAATTGCCCTGCCTGCAACCCACCATGTCTGAGAAGATAGTCATTACTGACGATTGCTGTGGGAGGACCTAGTCCACTGTGACCCTCACCATCTCTAAGGTGGGCCTCGCCCTGTATAAGGAGCTAAGCTAAGCAGACGCCTGAAAGCCAGCCTGGAACCTTCCTCCATAGTCTCTGCTTCAGCTCTTGCCCAGACTTCCCTGAGTGATGAACTGAGACCCAGAAGTATAAGATGAAAATAACCCCTTTTCCTCCTCTGCCTTGCTTTTTGGTCAGAGCGTTTTGCCACAGCCACAATAAAGCAGAGAAGGACCCCTTCCATGCTGCTTTGTGACCCTGGCTGTGGCCAAAGGGACTCCAGTAAAAACTATAGTAGTGGCTTCATTCAAAATGGAAACCTGGGGAAGTGTGAAAGGATAATTATCCAGAAAACAAATGACAAGTCAATAAATCTACAGCTTAAAAAAACATTGATTTAAATATGAATCTTTAATGATTGCGTCCCACTGTTTCTCTCTCCTAGAAAGTACTCCAGAGAATAGAATCTCGTGTAGAAAGACAAATCTGCGTCACTACGTCATCGGAAGGTGAAGAGGTAACCAATCACAGACTAGTGCAAAGAGTGGGATTTCTCTCCAAAGTGCTTTCTCCTCCAAAGTCAAAGCCTGAAGACTCCCCATTTCCTTCGACGTTGGAAGACGGTTTGTGTAAGTGTTCGCCCTTCCCAGCTTGGAGCTCTGCATTCCCTACAGGACAGTTTTACTACAGCAGGTGGTCAGGGATGCTTACGAATGGCGCCACCTCCCCTTTTCTCCCAGTATCACACAATCTAACACCCACGGTCAGTAGTTGCTTCCCTGGCCCCCCACTGGCCACAGGATGTCCCGACGGGCAGGACATCCTGAAGCTGCCACCAAGTGTATAAACACTCTGAAATTGATTTTGCTCGTGCAAATCTTTCTTTCTGTACCTAGAAAAAGAAGGGGAGGTGGAGACTATATGTTACTCCAAAGCCGTGGTAAACACAGGAGCAGTGTAAGAGCTGTCTGAACCTCATCGTTTCTGAGTCGTGCAGGGACTCTGAAACCTACACTCTGGAAGCTATGCCATTTCATCTGCCTACCGTTCCAACCAGTGTGCCGCCGCCACTGCACACCGAGGTCTCTGCTACGGACACTGCTGTCCTTCACTGAGCTTAGGATGGGAAAGGTGGGTGCTGGAGCGTAGGCCCCACCTCTAGCAGCTGACCTTCACCCCCCCTTGGAAAGATGGTCTCACCACTTTTAGCGCCATCCCCTTAAAAAAAAACGGTCACTACAGATAAACACATTTTTTTCATAAATAAAAACTGAGGCATATTTGTAATATATTAAAATTTTCACCCACAAAGGTGTGTTAAAATCTTCAAGTTCTGTCATTCAAGTTCAATAAAGGCACACATATTTTTTTTTCCTTCAGGTCTGCAAAGAATACATTTCCTAGTCATAAGTCACAAAGTCATTTAGTGGGACTTCCTTCCTTTGACTTTCCTCTTCTTGGGATAGATAAGTGCTCTTCAGTGGCTTGACTCTGCCACCCAAAGGATGTTTCTAGAGAGAGGGCTTTACGTGGATTCCATAGTCGATCAGATTTGAGTAACAAGCCACAGCCCTGCTAGCTCAATTCATCCCAAGTCTGCTTTGGCTTTTCCCATCATGGCTTCTCACTGCCGAAGCGGCCTTTCCTGTTCCCGGGTTCTGAAGCCCGTCGCACCAGCCTCGGTGGGGGCTTGGGTGGAACATCTTCAGTCAGACTGTCTTCCCTGCCCCGGCCGTACTGTTGGTCTTTGGAGAGCAGTGGCTCTCTCAGTACCCCCGGTGTCTGGGTGCCCCCCTCTTTACTGCGGGGTGCTGGAGGGGTGCTGGCCTGCACTCGTGCAGAGCCCACGTCCACCTCGTTCTTCCACTCCATTTTGTAGGCCTGGGAGGCTTTCTTTGAGAACTGATCTGGCAAAAAGCGCCTGGAGCGAGGTTGCAAATTGAGCACGGTGGTCCCGGGATCTGTGTCCGAGTCGCTGCTGTTGCCGTCTGCCACAGAACAGAAGAGCAGTATGGGTAAGCAGAGCATAACAGCGATAGCACGTGTCAGAGCGAAACCCCAGTGAGTCCTTTTCCCTCCTGGGGGCCCTGGGGAAAGGGAAGCCAGAAGTCTCACTCTGACTGCAGCTGAATGGCCTTGCAAAGGAAAGAAGTGTGAATAGACCCTCGAGCGAGGTCTGGGTGCTAGAGATCATGGGAGGACCAAGGATGAGACCCATCCCTGTCTACTAGCTGGCATCATCAGAGCTGCATGTTTCTCTGCACACTCAGTGGCGACAAGACCAACAGTCACTAAAAGTCACTACCTTGGCTTCCATTTCCAGTGCTTCCTGTTTCTCACTCCTCCCTCTATTGCCAGAAGCAGCCTTTAGCCTGTCTCTGGCTTGATGAGTTCAATAAACAGAAAGGGAAGTTGCAAAGGGGTTTAAACTGTTGTTAGATTCCATATTTTAATAAAACGAACCCTAATGTCATCCTGGGTTTACAGAAAAGAGCCTGAAGATTACCATCAAACAAAGAAATAACATCTATAGTCTATGCTATGAAAATTCATTAGCATTACTGTACAAGTGTAAATGTTTATACATCTTCGGATTTACAACCTTTTATTTGCAGCTTCATACATGCACAGTAAAAGGATTTGCTTTTCCTATCCTTCAGGGGTCATTGTGAAAAACAAGTGATTGGAATATGCATAGAGATCCATTAAACAAGGTCATGATGCTAAGAAAAGGGAGCCCGATGCTACTTGAGGTTCACAAGTGACTGAGCTCATCCTCAATGAAGAAAACCTGAACGTTTTATCTTATAAGCATTAGCAAACAGACAGAACAGCATTTCTGCTTCAGACAGAGTCATCACCTTCATTTGGGATCTTCTTCTTCTTCTTCTGGAGTGTCTCTGGAAGCTTTGTATTTTTAGGTAAGGATAAATACCGAGAGGTTGAAGCGGAAGCCTGTGAAAGAAATAGAAAACAGCATTCAGATGACAGAAATGTCACCTACTGTGTATTAGAAGCTAAACTTGGTGACAAAACTCGATTTTTAAAATAGGATTTTAGTCCTTCGTTCCAAAATTACTTGTTTAGATACCATAACCATCATGCTTCAACAACGAAATGCCTTCCAAACCCAATGACCCATCAATAGAAAGGAAAGAAAATAGATGGGGCCATTAGGAAGGTGAAGGCCACTGGCTCTTAAAGAACACTGACATCCTCGTCTATAGAAGTTATTCATAAGAAAGATGTGGAATATCTGGGAAAGGGGAAATATTAACATGTGGTAATTGAAGTTTCATTTATTTTAATCAATCTTAAAATGAAGGAATAGCAAAATGTTGCAAAATCAAGTTACTAAGATTCTGAACATCTGTCTTTGGTTTCTAGAATTATTTTTTAATGATAACTGCGGCATATCACACATAGAAAAACTTTCTCCTGTTCATATACTTCTGATGCTTCAACACAGAATTTTACTGAAAATAGGCACCTGTCATGATATATCATCAATGACTGTGTCATTTTCCATGGTTTCTCTTATCTGCTGAGAAGTCCCTGCCCAGCTGGACTTTGGGGCAAACTGCACCCTGAATGCTCACCTCCCCTGGCACTCCTGGCTTCTTGTATCACTGAGGAAGGTGATACTTGCCTGACATCAGAAGTTTGGACCCTGGTACCTATTCTTGGAAGACTCAAATGTAATCATGGGCTGCATGATGGTCAAAGGCCAAGGGAGTGTGCAGTACTGTGCTCGGGAGCTTGTTGCCTGGAGACAGCACAGCTCGCCTAGGCTACACACACACGATGTTCACACCTCAAAGCCACTCAGCAACATGTCCTCAGAATGGATCTCAGTGGTCTACACAAGTCACTGTATAATTATCCATACAAAATGGGTCCGTCCAGCCATTCTGATTAAAATTATGTTTTGATTATGCCTGCCAGCTTCCTTCTTTGGCTTTTAAAACATCTATTTTCTTTTCTCCAAAGCACTTACTGTATTTATGTATAAAAATATATATGAATATGTATATAACTACATATCTAACTATATATATGTATATATGTACATATATATATTCGATTGCTGGTGATTTGCCTCTTTTCTAGAATAAGAATCTAAGAATCTTAGGCATAGGAATCTGTTCATTTTATTCTTCAATGAATTCCATGTGTCTAAGACTGGCAAGGATATAAAATAAATAGAGTGATATAAGCCTATAGACCCTGCACATCAGAGGTAGAGTCAGGAGGATCAGGAGTTCATAAAAATCCTTGGCTATCTAGTGAGCTCAAGGTCAGCCTGGGTTACATAAGATTTTGAGTAAATGAAACAAAAACAAAAGAATATAAAAGGAACGGACTATCATTTGTATTTTTTCTTTTTTTGAATGTACGTTTCACTCTATTGCCTCAGCTGGCCTCCAACAGCTCTTCTGCTTCAGCCTTTTAAGTAGTTGCAGCTAGAGGAGATCAGCTCTATGCATGGTAAAAACGACTTTATTATTCATCCCAGCCTAGGCTATCTGGGAATTGGCCCTCAGCAGCCATTCGACCGGCAGAGCCAACGTTCCTTCCTGTCAGCTGGTCAGTGGAACAGCTGAGGACTCTGCCCTTGGAATCTTTGTGCTTCTGAAGGCAACACTTGCCCTGCGCTCGTGGTTTAAGCTGTTGTCCTTCCTGAGGCTCTCCCGGAGGCTGTGCCGTCTGCGGATCAGGATCTCCTTGGCCTGCCTCTCACTGGTATCTGCTGTCAGGTTGTGTCTGTTGTATGATAAGGTCTGAAATGACAACGCACACAGGACATTGTTACCAAGCAATCCACGATTTCTCCCCAACTTCAAGCTTCACTTTCCTTTGGGCTTACACCACTGCAGTCAGCTTCTGTGTGGGACAAAACCAAAATGAAAATCCAGAGTCCCAGTGCACTCAGAGTTTGAAAGAATTTATCCTCCCGGAAATCAGTATGTTTTTCTTCTTCATTGAAAAGTGTGAACTTTGTGAATTAGAAAAGTAATTTACTTCATGAATACCTTGTCTGCTTTCTATGCATCCAGCCATGATTAATAGGAGAACAAGAATCATTTTCAAATACAATCTGTACTGAGTAGAGACAGATTGATGATATGAGTCACACTGACACTTGGTGGCACTACATCCTCAGACTAATATCAGGGCTGTCATTATGAGACGTTCTGTCACCGCCAGCAACTATCACCTCTAAATGAAGGCTACCCAGCTCACACCACATGCAACAGAATTAGTACTTAAGTTCACTTCCTCATAGAATTGGCATGGATGTCTTGGAAACATTCCATGTCCCGAAATATCCTAGGTCCTGCAGGCCAATGGAAAGGTGACATGGTGTCAATCCCACTTCTGTCTCAAGAAGTTTCCTATCTAGTTGGCCATCTGCATCTCATAAAACCATAAAAAACAAATGCTCAATTAGCTGCACTGCATAAACCCCACGTGTTATCTGATCTAGAATAGGATGGGGATAGTACGATGGTTCTTGATGAGAACTTAATTATGGGAAGCTCTGGGCCAGCTAACAAGAAGCAGGGGCTGGCTCTAAGTATAGAGAAACAGTCCACACTACACAGGTCATGGCCTGAGGACAGAACCCATGGTTCCGTGGAAGTCTAGAGTGAGTGGATGGATTGAATGTGGGATAGTGTTGGATGAAGTGGGGCTTGGTAGTAGGGGGTCCCAAACTATGTGGAAACAACTGTTGTTTCATTTCGTTTTAAAGAGGAGGCTGCTGCCCTTGAAAGAGCTTTGGAGAAATGGGCAGAATAGCATGGATAAAAATAGTGGCAGCCTGAAGGAATGCCCGCTAAGTCTACAGGTCTACAGGTGTAAACTCTGAAGAAATGAGGATGATCTCTGCCAAGCTGAGCGTGCCTCCGTTTCTTCATCTGTGAAATGGAGACAACAATAGCACCTAGCACATGAGGGATTAAAGGAGTCAAGAAAAACTGTGCTAAATCACACTTGGAAAATGGTAAGACTCTGGGATCATTAGCATGTCATTAACATGTGATTTGAATATCATTAGAATAGGTTATTAACAATGGGAAAACAGTAAAAGAAAGGACTCTGAATATATGAAGAAGGAAATTGTAGCACTTTATGAAAACAGAGTTGTTATATTTACAGTCTAAGCTATAAAACTTTTTGAAAAATTCTGTATTTTGTTATCTATATGTGTGTGTCTGTGTGGGCATATGTGCACGTGTGCAGATGCCCCAGAGACACTGGATTCCTCTTGAGCTGGAGTTACAGGTGTTTGGGGGCTGGAAATCGAGGTCAGGTCCTTCTGGAAGAGCAGAAGAGCTGCCGAGCTATGGCCTCAGCCCTAGAAAGTACGTTCAGATCTAAAAACAATCAGATCATAACTGGCCCGCACATCAGTCCTTATCTCTTAAACTTAAGCACCCGAGCCCCCTTTGATTCCTCAGCTGAGGTGTCTGGGAGAACTTAGCAAGTCTCCAGGATGAGACGCCGAGAGAGGGTCTGAGAGAACAAGAGAGGACACCCCATGTGGTGCTCACAGGGAGTGGGGGGGCAGTGCTGTGGAGGAGCAGGTATGCTACAAAGATATCCGTTTACAGTACCCAGCTGGAAAGCATATTGTCAGCCAAAATCAAGTATGTACTCTGGTGCATAACTTTTTCCTACCCGCTGGCGGATTTGATAGAGGTTCCTTGATAGAATCTCCCTAATTTCGTCCATCTCGCCTGGTGTGAGCTTCCTTATTTTCTCCTCACGGCAATCGCTGTAGAAGTTTAAGAGGGAAAGGTATTTTACCTTTAGCAGTGTTTCAGAATCATTGAATTTCTTCTTTGGTGTTAGAACATTGTGACTTTGGAGTAAGATTATAGTTTAAAAAAGGAGTGATTAGGAATTGCTCAATATTGTCAACTATTCTAAATATTTTTTTAAAATACTCAGTTTTAGAATAATTAAGTTTCTGAAACTTATTTCCACAGTAAAATTCATTACTGGTAAGTTTAGCTGTGCATGAGTTTCCACAGAGTTGACTATTACATCAAGTTCCCACAACCCCAGTGCTTGTGGTATAGCCTGGACTGACTTAAATCTCACCATCCTGAGACCTTGGCTCCAGTACCCTGTGACTGCAGGTGTGTGTTACCACAGCCAGCATCTCGTGTGATTAGTTTTAAGAAGGACTCATGGTGTTATCAATTCGTTAGTGCTAGCCCAAAGGAATGCAGAAGCAGTCATTCCAATAGAAATTTAGTTAGCTATATTTTATTGAGCCTTGTCACCATGGATTATGAATTGAGTTCTTGTGGAGTGACACCCGGACCTCTGTAGTCTTTCATACTCCTGACGTGTTTCCAGGGTGCAGCCGGAGTCCGTGTCTGTTCCCCCCAAGCCTAAGTCCACTACTGCGATTGGTCAATAAGGAAACAGCTGTATGCTGTGTATACACACAGTAGCCAACCTAACATGTGTGGAAAACATTCCATGTGACCCGGCTGAGAGAACTGTAACTCAATTTCAACCAGTACTGAACTTCCAAGGCTGATATGACAAAGGCAGGAGGATCCTCAACATGACTGTAATTTTAGACTTGGCATTCTCAGTATGGCACAGCATACGGCATAATGTGACGTAAAACATGACACATGAACACCCAGAGCTGTCTTCCAACCAGAGTCTCAATCTGCTCTAGGATCTTAAGCCACCACCCGAGGACTTACATCAGCAATACTATTATTCCCGTCCTAATAATACTGCTACTATCACAGGTTTCAAAACCGCACCAACGCCTACTTATTGACAAGGTATTAGCGTCACTCTGCAAAGCGATACTCACTTAAGAGATGCAAACGAGGGGACAGTGCTTATCATGCCCGTCTCCGCCATCTCGATGGCGTGTTTTATCTCAAGCTTTTTGTATAAAGACACGATGCTAGACTTGGGTTGGTTTTCCCGAATCAGGAGCTTCCGAAGGTATTTGTCATCAAATTTCTTAAACCTATAAATAAGTAAAGTCAGAATTTGAATCAATGAATATCTCATTGAATAAGAAAACTAGTCCTGAGTAAAAACATGGAGAATTGAACTGGTCTTATTATATGTATATTTTTATATATGCTTTTATATTTTCATACATATATGTGTGTGTATATATGTATATATATATATATATACAGTGTAACTAACAAGCATCCAAATGCCGTAAGCCATGTATTCAAACTGAACTAATCTTCCTAGCCCTCCGCCGACCTCCACCAGGTCAAACTCTTCAGCACCCTGTGTAATAGTTCTCTTCTGTATTTCATGTCAAGGGCTGACGTGTCCCAGCAAACGTCCTTCTGTTGAGGTCCTGATTGCTAGCGCATCTAGGACTGAGACCATATGTGGAGACACGCTCTTCACGGATATGATCGAGTTGAGATGAAGTCATGAGAGTGGGCTCTGTTTAGTGTGACTGGCACGCTGGTCAGAAGGGTGCATTTAGTCACAGACACATGAAGAGACACGCACATCACAGAAAGCCCCTCCCTCTGCAAGCACACAACAGTAGCACCACCTTCCCTTAGAGCCCTCAAGGTGAATAAATGGAAGTTGGGAAGCCTGGATCCAGTGTGTCCATCCCATCGTAACCACACACCATCCTATCTATGAAGTGGTAGGAACCAAGATGAACAGCTGTAAATAAGGTAGTTATTTTACCCCCACAAGCTCTGACAGGATTGACTGACTATCATCGAGCCCACAGCAGCAAGAACAAGTCCAAGCCCCACCCAGATTAGCCGGGCCCAGTACAGCCCAGCCCACTTGGAGCTTCTTGACTCACACAATTTAATAATAAATGACTGCTATTTTGATCCACTGGCTTTGAGGATGGCTTGTTATGTAACACCACATGCCAGTATACAGGTAACAACAACATTCAATAAATAATCCTTGAGAAAGATGTATGCACCATTGATTCGCCATCGACCCAAAGAGGTTCATTGGCACACCTGTGTCATGAATGAAACCAATGTGAACCAGCTTCTTGGCACTGGCCCTTTGTTCTAAATACCGGAGGGATCTGAATAATTAAAAGGCTACCCTGAATACACTGTGTTAGTGACCCGCTACTATCTGAAGGCTGGGTCTACTCCTGATGTTTATTTTGAATTTTCTGTTTTAGGCTCACGAAGTCAGGATTCTCAACAATAATACAAAGTCTCCAGCACTTCTCATGTGACTATTATTGTTTTAGATTTCTTCCCGGAGATAAAACAAACGGGAGAGTGAACACGGATGGGAGAGGCAGCTGTTCTCTCCTGCATGGGGCGTGCGTGTTTTCTTACTGCTTTCTTCCCCTCTCCCACTCCTCTGCCAAGCTCCACACAGGTGTTCTCTTTCGCATCATTAGACTCCCGGTTGCGGGGCCTGAGCAAGGTCTCCACTGTGTCACCTTTCATTCTCTTCTCAAGTGATCAAGAGCCTCAAGAATTCTCCGCCAGGGCCAACGAGATTCGGTAACACTGGGGCTCTGGAGGACAGGGAAAGACACCCAACATGCTCAAACCATGCCTTCTTCATTTTGTACGTTTGTTTTAGAAGTGGCCATGGTTCTGTACCCACCGAAGAAATTTCACACAGAACTGTGTGGAATTGATTTTAAAATGGTTCATGTCAAAGCCCAGTCACTCATCCCCGCTTTTCCGGTGACGGTACAGTAGACGTGGCAATCAAGAAAATGCTTTGCAGTTGGTGTGGTGATCGAACATGGAAACCTAAAATGCTTATGGATTAGTTAAGACTATTCGTTCCCAATTCAAAAAGACAAAAAAATGGCAGCAGTTGCTTCCAAATATAAGCCAAATGTTGGCACTGTTCTTGTTCGTGTCCACAGTCCAGCTATGGCTTCCTTGGGAAGTCTGCCTGCAAGACATCCATGGACCTCAGAGACATGAGTTGCCTGAGACACAGAGTACAAGCACTCCCTCTGACCTTCACCTGAATTCCACTTCCAACTCACGTGATATCACAGCCTCACCCCTCCCCCTTCTTGGGCTGGTGAGGATTTCTCATCAGCTGGACACAAACTAGAGCTATCTAAAAAGAAGAAACCTCCACAGAGAATATGCCTTCATAAGATTGGCATTTTCTTGATTAATGATTGGCCTGGTAGAGACCGGTCATGGATGGGTTGTGCCACCCACGTGCAGGGCTTCCTGGCGGTGTAAAAAAAAAAAAAAAAGCAGGCAGAACTATCCGTGAAGAAGGAGGCAGGAAGCAATGTATCTCCATGGTCTCTGTTCCTGCCTGGAGTTCCTGCCTTGACATCCCCCTCATAGTCCACTGCAAGCTAAACGATGAAATAAACTCTTGCCTCCACACATTGCTTTGGGTCCCGGTCTTTATCACAGCAATAGAAAGTCAAATAGGACAGCATCTCTTTTTCCTAATAGTGCCTAGGGGTTGCTGACCTAATGTGCGCTTACACATGTGTGCATGCTCCCTACTTGGATGCAGCAGGGTCGGGGGAGGGGGATGACATGAAACCTCAACTTGGCTTTTGAAAAGAAACACGCTAGTCTGCATCATGCCTCTCTCTAAACGCATTGAGAGGGTACCAATTGGGTCAGAAGGGAGAAGATAAAACGATGGGGAAAGAGGAGAAGAAAGTCTGTTTGGTGCATAGGAGGGCCCATCTACATGAGGAAAGTCTTCGCGTGTACAGTAGGGTTGGAGAGAGAACAAGGCAGGCACAGTGGGCTGGCTTTAATCCCACAGCCAGAAAAAAAAAAAAAAAAAAGAATGTTTCTCGAGAGAAATAGCCATTTGTTCCGAGTTTTACAATGCAGGTTTAGTCGGCTTTATTACCTTGTGCTCCCAGGTGGTTAACTGGGTGTCCTGCCTGTATAAAAATATCTTTCCTTGATTTATGAAAAAAGGCTAAGCTCAAGGGAGCTTCTAACATCTACAAACATGAACAGTGCTGGAAGCTTTGTAATTACTTAGGCACTAATGTCTTTGTAACTGATTGAATTAAGGATAAGGATCTCACCTCCTCCCTTTCTCCTCTCTCTCTCTCTCTCTCTCTCTCTCTCTCTCTCCACACACACACACACACACACACACACACACACCTGCTTACTACATGACTGCTTTGCTGTCTCTATTATATGAGTATACAACTTTGTGACATACACATCTTATGTTTCCCAGCACCATGCTACGTGCATGAGCAAACAGAACCATTCAAAATCTTTCCGCTTTACATGCAGTGATCATCAGGTAGCCAAGTTGATATCAAGGAGTGGGTAGTGGAGTAAAATGTCTGTGAGTACGTTAGGGGAGCAAGAGGACACATCTTCATATGGTCTAGAATGTGCCCCTCTGACCTCCCCTTTCCGCCTACACTCTGCTTCCATCAGCCGTCTGACCTAGCCAGTGATAGACGCACAAATGTTCACAGGTGCGCCCCCATGAGAGAAGAGAGATTCTATAATGTTCTGTAAGAAAAGAGCCCAACACGTGGCTGTTTCTGACAACCATCATGGATGGCACCAAAGTGGCCAGGGAAGGGGGTACCCACCATGGGCTCCCATTAGCTGGTGAGGGGTGGATCCTAGGACCCATGGGTCAAACATAGCTGTCAGAACCCTTCACTTCTTGATCTCGTCACCCTGTCTGCTTTGTTGTTCCCAGCTCAGGGAACATGAAGATAGGCAATAAATTAAATCTCATCACTATACCTGGCCTTTATTTAAAAAAAGTAAACTTGTGTGTGTGTGTGTGTGTGTGTGTGTGTGTACACAAGTACTTTCCATAAACATAATCTTTCAAGTACATGAACCCCTCAGTGTAAGCTCATTGGTTTTCTGCAGGTTTACTGTTATTCCCTGGAGCTGTGAATCTCTACCTCTCTTATGCCCCTTACCCTTATATGGCAGAATAGACAGTAATGGAATCCTTAACTTTTAACTCATTGAATGGGATTCTTGGTTCTTTTGCAGTGAGGAACAACCACAAAGGTTGGCTGCAGCCTGGGGATCTGCATGGAAGAGCTGTTTGACTGCATTTAAGTACCCTGGTTAGAGGTGACAGAAGATGTCTTGTCCTTTAGTGGACTTTCTTCCATCTTGCAGCCTAAAACGGGTGACGCTGAAGGGGCAATTTTGCCCCAAGGGCCAACATGGAGGCGACTCTTGGTGAGTTACTTTACCCTTGGAAACGTGGAGTTGAGCTCTCGTCGGCTTAGCCTGAGTCTCCTACTTCTGGCTATTCATATAGGGAGATAAACTTTTGCCTCATTTATAACAACTTTATATCTCTGCCATGGCTGAGACATTGTTGTTGTAGTTGACACAGTCTCTAAGTAGCTTAGGTTGTTGCCCTGAAACTCATGTAGCCTCCATTGTTCTGAGATCATAAGACTGAATCACTACACCTCTCTATAGCTAAGTGTTGCCTTAAAGGACACACAGTAGCACAGCATAGGATTCACAGTCTGGAAGATCTGGGATACTTTGTTTCTAAGAGTGACCCAGAACTGCTCTGATGGGGAGTCCCAAGGCCTCTTACTTGTCTCTCCAGAAGTTGTGACCCCAGTGTCCACAAACATCTTCAATTCCAGTCTTCACATGATCAAAAAACTGCAACAGAAGAAAAGACAGGTTAATTCACTCTCCTTTTCTGGAAAGTTGGTCATTTTCACCCTTCTGCCATCATACCTAACTCCAATGACACTCTGTTTTGTTGAAAGCCATAAGCTGACTTTTTTTGGTTTGGGTTTTGTAGTTTGAGACAGGGTTTCTCCGTGTAGCCCTGGCTGTCCTAGAACTCACTCTGTAGACTAGGCTGGCCCTGAACTCACAGAGATCCGCCTCCCTCTGCCTCTGGAATGCTGGGATTAAAGGCATGCACCACCATTACCCAGCTATAAACAAATGATTTATCTTCAATTGTTTGTGTGTTAGGCAATGTTTTCATTACTTTGATCATCCTAAGTATGATCACAACTTTCAAAATTATAAGAAATAGGTAGCAGAAACATCTTTAGGTTGAAGGTTTTATTTTCCCTTAGCTGGTTCAGGTCTTTAGCAGACTTGGACTGGATATCGTGGGGTTATGACAAGTGCACCTCCCATCACAGACCATCCAGATGCCTCCCCTGTCCCCTACCAGAAATGCACAGCAGGGCAGTACTGTTTCTGTGATCACTACACACATTCATTGTTAACTTCTTCATCACTCAGCACCTACCCGGCAATGGATCTCTTCGCTGACAGCTTGCTGCTTCTTATTGGCTCTCTTAACATCAAGAAACTCCACCAGGGGTCTGATAGTTATCCCCTGCACAAAAAGATGGACCCCAATACATAAGTCTTCTTGTAAGAAAAAAAAGTTCAACTGCAGTTGATCGTCTTCTAAGAATCGCCAACCACCAACAAAAGCTAGCTCATTGTCAAAAGTTAGACAGTAAACACAAAACTTGGTTATTCCTTTTCCTTTTCCCAGATGTCTTACTTTAGGAAGATCATTTTCAACATAAAACAGATTTGGAAAATAAATAGAATAAACTGAAAAGTAAAAAACAGTGAAGTTCCGTGGAGTCAGTGGGAATACTTACTGTATTACCCAGAGAAAAGCTCTCCAGTGAGTCCTTCATTTGCTCTTTCTACTGAGACGGTTCTCACTGAACTGTTTTTGCATGCCTGTCAGGGAACTTGAACATCAGAACACAGAGATGCCAAAGGACCTTGGCTCTAGGACTTTGGGTCTAAAAGAAGGTCATCTCTATCACAACACAGTTACATAGTAGGCGGAAGAGGAGTGACAGACAGACACAGGGAGAGAGGGCAGGGAGAAGGCCTAGGAAGCACCCAGCAGGGATCTGGAAAGGTGTGGGCATCATCTGGCAGAGACTTCAGAACAGTCAAGGAGCAGCAGCCAGAAATAGTGCAAGGGCAATCTAGGCATACCTAGGAGTTAATTTCGAAAATGGAGGAAATCACAAGCTGTTAATTAAACTGGGGGTGGGGGATAAAGGAAACCCCATATTCTGAACATGGATCTCTGCAAATTTTCATAGTCAATATCTCTCAGTCAATAATGAAACATTAAGAGCATCCTCCTTAGAGGCACAGAGGGCAGAAGGCACTAGGTTCTGCTGTTGGGCAAAGCTTTGCTTATTGTTCTCCAACCAGAGTTAACAGACAAAAGGCAAGACGTGCTGACAACAAAGTAGCAAGAATTTGTTGTTAATGGATAGTTTGTATTTTTGTTCTAAACCCTGAGACAATCTCTTCCATATAAAAGAGCAAGAAAGGGACTAGTATAAAATTAAGACACACAATCCATTTTAATAATCCATATTAAAATCATATAGTATTTTAAAGAGCATAAACAATAATCACATAATAAAAATACTTATTAAATTATGTAATACCTCATATTATGACTACATGATGTGTTTGAGTAACTAGTATACACTACTATATAATATGACATATATACTAGGGGAAACTATGTACATATAAATTCATATATTAGATGTATTCCATGTGTATATATTCATGTATATATAAAGCCTTATGATACTTGCATAAAACCCATATGTAGAGAATTGTAAAACTTAACTGAAGTATATCAGAAAGATTAGAAATTTTAAAATGCCATACTGATTTCCAGAGTGGTTGTACAAGCTTGTATTCCCACCAGCAATGGAGAAGGGTTCCGCTTACTCCATATCCTCTCCAGCATAAGTTGTTGTCAGTGATTTTGATCTTGGCCATTCTTACAGGTGTAAGATGGGATCTCAGAGTTGTTTTGATTTGCATTTCCCTGATGGCTAAGGATGTTGAACATTTCCATAAGTGTCTTTTGGCCATTTGAGATTCTTCTGTTGAGAATTCTCTGTCTAATTCTGTACCCCATTTTTTAATTGGATTATTTGGAATTCTGATGTCTAACTACTTGAGTCTTTATATATTAAAAAGGTCAGTCCTCTGTCTGATGTGGGCTTGGTGAATGGCTGGGGCAGACTTTGGGGCCACTGGCAGTGGCACCAGGATTTATCCCTACTGCTTGTACTGGCTTTGGGGAACCTATTCTCTTTGGATGATACCCTGCTCAGTCTAGATATAGTAGGGAGGGCCTCAAACCTTCCTGAAAGCAATGTGCCTTACCCTCTCTGGAGAGTGGGTGTGGGGGTAGGTGGAGGGAATGGGAGGAGGGGAAGGAATGGAAACTGGGATTGGAATATACAAAAAAAAGTTTCTTTTTAAAAAAAATAAAATAAATTTAAAAGTGCATTTAAAATTTAAATAAGATACATAGATTACAATGACGTTTTCTTAACTAATGTCTATACACAATATTTTAATATATTGCTTAGGATGTGAAACAGAACTTGAGCAATCTTTAATTAACCTATAACAGCAAAAGCACCCAGATTTTTTTCAAAAAGGAAAATAAAAGGGAATTTGCAGACACAACACAATCTACCAGCTCTGGTCACATTAATTATGATATTGGCCCCAAAGAGGCAGGAAAGATGTGTGCAGGAGGAGTGCCGGGGCTTTGACTTGGGGTCTATAGCACACATGGGAAAGCTTGTTGTTTTCTCAACAAGAGGAGGGGTCGTGTTGAGGTGTATTGTCTGCCATTTGATTTCCGTTTCATCTTTCCATCTCTATTTAGATGTTAACACAAGTTCATAGGGATGAGTTGATACAAGCTCAGGCTAGCTCAGAACTCACTGTGTAGCCCAGGCTGGCCTTGAAATTGTATCAGTCCTTCTGCCTCAGCCTCTTAATTGCTGAAATTACACTTGTGAGTCATCACTTTTGGCTTGTCCTTTAGTCTTTAAGGATGGTTTAGATAGCATAATACCTTAACACCCACATCCATACATATGTGCACACACATGCACACACACACACAAACACACACACACCCTCTTCAAGGAAGCCATTGGTTTTGTTCCATCAATCCAGCACAAACATTTCTCTAGCACCACTTTCTTTCCTTCTTTCTCTCTCTCTCTCTCTCTCTCTCTCTCTCTTTTTTTTTTTTGCTTTCTTAAGTGAAACTTGATTTTAACCAAATCTGATATGAACCATCTCCTTGTGTTCTATTTGTATTTCTGTCTGCCACTTGGAAATAACACAGGCGCTAATAACAGTTTCCCAGTCAACACGTTCTGGAATTTTTAATGTATGCAAACAAAAATGAGTGCAGTTGTGATGTTCAGAGACGATCACTCCACTGAGTTCCCTGCCCCATAGAACTGCAGCTCAAAATAAAAACAAGAAAATCAGAGTAATTCTTAACATCAAAACATTAACATATTCTGGAGACAATAATTGCTATTACATGTGTCTCTTCGCCTTTCATTTCATCAGTAAATAAAAGGGAGTATTCAGAATTTGAAACCACAATGTATGAAAGCAAACATGGACGTGGGCCTGCCCAGTCCTGACATTGGTTCCTACCAGACTGACAGACTGGAAGTCAATGAACGAATTGACTAAACTGCACTGACCAGCTCTAAGAAGCAAGTGTGGATATACCTAGAATAACTCTAGTTTATGAATGTATAACATATCTAAGTTCATAATTAATAAAAAAAATGATGCATCTAATTTAAATCCCATTCCCTTTAGTACATCCTCATCCCTGGAACTGTTTGGTTGTCTTAGCACACTAAGTGGGAGTCATTTGTTAGGCACTGCTTGGTTTCTGTCCCTCTCTCCCTCCTCCCTCAATCATATATTCTGAGGTAGAGCATGTAACGTGTACATACCATCAGGATAATTTATTACCCATCCAAAGCCCTTGGTTTGCAAGGACAGAGGAAGGATACCTCTGATGGGACATCAACTTTATCCCTTTGGAAACATTCTAATTTGGGTTACCTAGGAAGCAAACTGATAGAACTTCCAAGAAACTTGTTACTATGCAGAGGGGGAGGGGAGGAATTAAAAATAAAAATCCCGAGTTTACCAACAGCATGCCAAAATAAATAGCTGCAAAGGGCAAGCAAATGCTCGCCTGCCATTCAAGTTTGACGCAACAAACAGGCACAGTGATGTCCTGACTCAGATTCATCTAAGAGCAAGGACATGGAGAGTCACTGGGCAGTGAGATTCCCATTTTATTTTATCTCTGCCTCCCTCCACCGCTCCACCTCTGCTTCTGCCAATGAGAGAAGAAAGAGAAAAGGCTAATCTGTTGATTGGTTAAAATAAACATCCATTCACAGGGAATAATGAATACATTCTTCCAAGTTGGATTAATACTGACATAATGGGGAGGTGGGTGCCTTATATTTCCTTGCTGATTTGGCAAGGATTTCCCTAGAACACTCGGAAGAAAGTTTCCATTTATTAAAAGCTATCATTGCCTGACTGAGGAGACGGCTCAGTGGGTAGGAGTGTTCTAGCTACACCAACATAAAGACCAGAATTCAGATACCGTAGAAACTGTCAGGCGTGACCACGTATGTCCATAAGCACAGTGCTCAGTGGGGAGCTGAGACAGGAGGATTGCTGGGCTTGCTGGCCACCAGCTTATGCAAAAACAAGAAAAAGTTTTGGTTCAGTAAGGGACCCTGTCACAAAGTCAAGGGAATAAGAAGGTGTGGGATGATAGAGGGTGGTACCAGAAGTCCTCCTCTGGCCTCTGTAAGCTTACCTAAAGATATACATACATGCGCACACGATACACAATATTTCACACACATACTTCACTCCCATGTATGGACAAATACACACAAACATACACCACACATGACACTCCTAAAATACACACATACACTCAAGCCTATCACCGTCATGGCCATGTTATCTTATGTTTGGGCATGTTTGGCCATTCTCACGTTAATACATAGATTGCCAAGATCATAAAACCAGGTTGTGGAAAAAAATCACTTGAGATGGACATAAACAGAATGGAAGTTCTACAGTGTTCTTGGCCCTTGGCTGCCCCTGGTTTCCAGCACTCACCACCTACACAGTGGTCACATGACTCTGTTAGAGCTCTGTCTTCTAATAAACAATAGCTTTCTCCGTTGTGGGCCACAAAAACCCGTCCATATTATACTATCTACAAGCAAAAGTGTGGCTGAAGCTCTCATCTTAGAAAACCTGAAATATAAATCACCCATGTCAAGTGGCCTTGGCGTATTACGCCTTCTCGAGAAGATCTCCTATCTCCAGTGCTCTCTTTTGGGTCAGTTAGTCAAAGGGTCACCCTCACCTCATCAGAGAGCCCCTGTGAGGATGGCCACTCCTCACTCATGATGCTGTTGCTTTTTCCTGAGGTTAAGGAATCCTCTCCTTGCACACCCT